AAAAAAAAAAAAAAAAAAGAGAAAGTTCTGGACCTTTTTTATTTTTACCTACCCTGTCATTTTTTTTTTCAGGATCAAAATGAGGTAAGCACATATATATCTCAGTGAAAACTGGGAAACTCTCAGTGGTTTATCTATTGCTTGTGATAAGAACTTCTTTTATCCCGCTTTATTTAGCTTTCTCATGACATGGACCATACAAGGAAATGGAAACTATTCCTTTCAGCATTCCCAGTGCCTGAGACAGTGTCTGGCACATAGAGTTACACAATACGAGGTTAAATTAACAATTAAATTAAGGACAAATGGATAAATTCATGAGTGGGATAGGATGTATATAAAATTTTTTTATCTTTCCCAATAAGTGTATAACCTTTATTTTAAACATCTTATCTCAGTTGAGTAATTCAGTATTTAACGGGTTTGATATTTCAGTTTTCTTCGTTTACATTACTGATGGAAGGATGACTCACCAAGAGACATGAATGTTAATAGACAGAAAGGGACAATCAACTAGAGGCTATTTTTATTGGGAATATTCATTTCCATCGGTTTTTCTATTGATGGATGTATGAACCAAAGAAATATCAGCACAGACATAAAAAAGGGTAACATCTCCCATAAAAGTATTTTGTCATTTCTTGTTAGTGATTGTGAAAACACATAGGGACACAAATTCATTTGGAAAAAAATTCTTAGGCATTTCAAATTGCTTGAAGAAGAAGCAGGAAAAAAGGAGTGACTACCCTAGGTTCTTGAAAAGAGTCACACAGTGTGTAGATGAAATAAAAATTCCTTAATGTTGTCTAGAAGTCAAGAAGCCCAGACAACCACCAGAAAAATACTGTTCATGTGAACTGACTTGATTTTCTCTTGTGCAGCAAAATTCATCAGAGGTACCTACCAAACCCAAACACTTAAAGTCCTTCCATCCACTGAAACACAGAGGTGAGTTACAATCAAAACAAGTACTGTTCAAGGGGGAAGGAGGGTGACTGATTACATGACAGGAATAAAACTCAAGCATAACTCCTGAAAAAATTCCAGGTGAGAAGTGTGACCATGTTATCCCACTGTGGGTCCAGAGTTCTCCTGGACTGTGCTCAAGGCTGACAGTGTCGGGACCTCATGCTCTTGGGATTAGTGAGTGTCATTGTGCAATGTTGTCACAGCTATGTTAGAAGACATGGTTTAATTTTGTGGCATTGATCATCAAGGTGTGGGTAGAGAAGTATGGTTAGATCAGTACCAGTCATGTCTTTAGTGTTGAGGTATTGCAGTGAAGCTACATGCTGTGTCCTGCAGGAGGCAGGAGCCATACCTGCTAAAGGTAAAGACCTTTGTCCTCCCCACCTCTGGTCCCCACAGGTCCCTCATTCTTATACTGGAGGTTACTGAAGCCCATGGTGTTCAGCTACTGGAATGCCAATATTTAAACACTGCAAACTGTCACAGTCTCCTTGGAGGGAAGGGTAGACTGTGGGAAGGGAAGAGAACACATTGCATTATCAGTTAAATTGAAGTCATATGGAAGAGCCCTAGTCCCATTTCACACTGAATTATGTTAACCTCATCATGAAGATTGGGAAATGGGCAATCCTATCAAACTCACCTAAATTTCATGTACAGTTCATGTATGTGGGGAGTGTGCTCATCTAGAACCCTTGGGTCCTGTAATAACTACCACCAACTAACCTGAGTGATTTTATAAATCTCTTTACCTTTCTAGACATTTGTTCCTTGTTAGTAAAATGAAAATCTAAGGTATCACTAAGGTGTTCCTTTTCCCCTACATCCCCACTAGCATTTGTTATTGCTTGATTTTTTTTATGGTAGCCATTCTTTCTGGAGTGATAACAAGCTGTGATCCTAAGTCTATTTTATCTCATTTCCTGGCAATATCTGAAAACCATAGTACTTTGTCTCAAACAAGTGATGCCTGGCAAATGCTAGTTTCTATGGTATCAATGAAATGGTTTCTCTTCACCAATCCCATACTATCGCTTGCCCTCAGATCTCCTAAACTTACCCCCATTGTAAGGAAGCCTACAGGCTGATTTTTATTTTAGTCTCATGCTTGATTCCAATATAATGACAATAATTCTTATCCTCCTTCTCCCCCTCAGGCAAGTATGCACTTTCTCATCCTGGAGAGTCCTCCAGCGACATCACGCTAACTCAGTTTCTATCAAACGAGTGAGGCCAAGACTCATAAAATCAAGGCACACTGTTGGGTGCAACTTAACATTTAATGCTTTGTACTGGATGAGATATTCTGACCCAGGACCGGGACAAGGTGGTCACAGCAGCTTCAGCTCTGCCTCCTTTATCTCGAATTCAGTAGAAGGAAGATTTATTTCCATGTGGCTGGAGTCGAAGAAGTAAGTTGCTCCTTAAATGCGGAAGAATTCATTTTGTTGGAAATGTTGTCAGTTGTTCCTTCTTCTCATGAGCACAAGATGTGGCTTCCCTTTTCATGAAATGACCTTGTCCACATGACAAGGTCATTTCCAATGATGGATTGAAACAAGAGGACTTCACAAGCTAACCTTAGATGATAGTGTTGACTTTCTTGTCAAAAAGTTCTCCGTGCATATTTCCTAGAGAAAAGGCATTTCCCTTCCAAATTTTCCAGTTGGATTTTACGCTTTTTTTCTTTCTTCATGAGTTTAGTCTCTTAACTTTGCAAGTAAGTCTGAAATAAAATAAAAACTTCCATTTCAATAGCTTCATAGCCATTTATGAGGAAGGACAATAATGTGATTTGGTGTGGAACGGAGCATTTTATAGTTTACAGTGCATTTTCACTTGGTCTCCAACCCAGAAAATGAAGTATCTGGTGGACTTAGGGCAGAGATCAGGAAAGTGAAGTCATTCACCAAAGATTACAAAGCCGGTGAAGGAGACTTGAGCCCATATCTGCAGCCTCAGAACAGCTTTGAACGTTGTTTACAATCCTAAGAAGTATTTATGAGATTAGATGCACCGTTCATTGTTCATCCCCAGCACTCTACCTTTGTGAGAGGGGAAGAGTTTGGTAATTAGCTTCCGGGGTTGTGCCTCTAACATCCTATTGCCTCCATCACACACTGGAGGTAGCTTTAGGCAGTTACTTGCGTGTCCAGCCAGTGCAGCTTTACGGGCAGAGCAGCAGGTGAGGTAATGCTAAGAAGCAGCACGTCCTTCCCATAATTCCATTCCTTTGAGTTCACCTCAGTGTCAGCCCTCACTGCAGTGCCTGGAAGATCCAAGCTTCAGAGTCACCCTTCCTGTTTTGAAAGCTACAGAGTGTTAAGCACGTCCACTAGCTCCTGACGTGAAAAGCCTTCGCAATAGGCAAATAAAGGTACTAGGGGGGACTTCTACTAATGGGAGGGGGTTAAAAAGACACGAGTAGAGAAGCATTGAGTTCAAATTTTGAACTCAAAATGGGTGCCACAAGGCACCAACAGCAACACAGATGAATTGTCAAGTGAGACGTTCAAAGAAAACGACCAAGGACCACTTAGATGGCTCCATAACTATAACTGTGTCCAAGAACCAGAAGAAAATCTGGTGAGAAAGAAAGCCTTGGAGAAAGCTGCTTGGCAAACCTCCTCAACTCCTCCTCTATGGTGACAGAAGAAGGGATACCTGCCCCACCAGCAGCATGGGGGAAGGACTTTGCAATCGCCTTCTGTGGAATACAGCACATGGGGTGCATGCGTGACTGCTGGTGTCTGATTCCTGCGTGGACTGGGGCCGGGGCTCTGTGTTCAGAATGGCCAGTGTTTGTCAGGACCAAGGGGGTGCGTGAGCTTCCCGTGAAGCATGGTGAGATGTGCAAGGGAGAGCCTACGTGGTCTATGTGACAGGCTATCCAGAGAGGGAAGGAACCCAGTATCAGAGTTTGGATGTGATGCCAGGCATGGAGCGAAGATGGAGTCACAAGTGACCAGTTTGGGTACAGAAGAATCTGTACAGTAGGCAGGTGAGAGACCAGAACTGGCGGAGTCCTGAGAGTTGGAGCAGTTACCACGCAGTATCGTGTCACCTGGCATCAGGTGAAGGTAGCCCTATCTCTTCCTGGGATGGGGGAGGGGAGGTGGAGAACCTCCGTGTCCGCGTGGGGAAACAGAGTGGGAAAACGAATGGAAAAAGCAAACAAGAGACTCAGTAGGGTTGCACACAGTCGGCCCAAGGCAGGGCTCGCCTGGTGAAGAAACATTTAATACTAAATTGCTTGTCACTTCTTATCACATTATTATCATCAAATATTTAAATTTATCAAAATGTCCTGGTTGTTTGGGCCCATGGAAGTCCTGGAGGATACCTGGTAAGGAGGAGATCTCCTACTGAATACCTTTATAATCAGGCAAAAATTAAAAGTGTTTGATCCCATACCATGTACCATGTTTGTCTAAACCATTGATTACACAATTCACCTAAAAATTCTCCTTTTTTTTTTTTTTTTTCTTTGTCTTCTTGAGACAGGGTCTCGCTATGCCATTCAGACTGGCCTTGAGCTCACTTTGTAGCCCAGGCTGGTCTTGAACTTGCAACGATCCTCCTGCTTCAGCCTCCCAAGTGCTAGGATTACAGGTGCATGCCACCACGCTTGGCAAAAATTCTCCTAAAACACTAAAAATCAAAAAAGCACAAAAGTATTTTAATAGTTTTCCATTGCTATGTTTTTCACTTTGTAGGCTTATTCAATTTCTACTGTAGCACAGTTTTTTATTGCTGTTGAAATAATTGCCCCAAACTTAGCAGCTTGAAAACCACACATATTAGGGGATAGAGAGCCCAACTTATAGGGTTATCTGTTCAGGGGCTCATGGGGATGGAATTGGGGTGCCCATGAGGGTGTGTCTTTACCAAGGGTACAACTGTAGAAAAATCCACTTTCAACTCATCCAGGCTGAGTGCAGAATTTACTTCACTGAAGTTGTAGGAAAGAAAGCCCCTCCTTTCTATTTATCACTGGCCAGAGGCGATCCTCGGACCCTAGACTATGCGTGTTTCCTGCCCGCAGCCCCTCCAGCCTGGCCACTTCTATCATTAAGCCCCTAGAAGGAGTCTCTCACTTTAGTCTAGTCTTTTTTCTTTTTTTAAAATTAAGTTGCTTGGTACAATTTATATATACATAATGGTCACATTCATCCTAGGGAACTAGTACCTGTACATGATTTATTAGTTCCTTATTTCCCCCCACTTCCCTTCCTTTCCTTCAACCCTTCTTCCCTTCCTTGTTTACAAAGCTTTGTTTCCATTTTATCCTTTTTTTTTCACTTATTCCCCCCCCATTTTCCCTTACCTTTTGAACAGTTTCTTCCTGTTTTATAATAGCTATTCTGCTATCATAGTTTTTGGTTCTTATTTACCCTTTCAATTTCTCACACCAGTGAGACACTGTGATATTTACACATATGTGTTTATTTCACTTAAGAGTATGGTCTCAAGGTCTGTCCATTCAGTATACATGGCTCAAATTTATCCTTCTTTTGGGATAAGTAGTACTTCTTTGCATCAAAAAACCACATCTTTTTTATCCATTCATCAGTTGATGGGCATTTGGGTTGTTTCCAGGATTTAGCTATTACAACTGTACTGCTATAAATATGGATATGTATACATTGCTGTGGTATGATGCTTTCAATTATTTTGGGAAGATACCAAGAAACAGAATAACTGGGTCAAATGAAACCTCAAGTCCTAGTTTTTTGAGGAATCTCTACACTGATTTCCACAGTGGTGGCACCAGTCTACATTCCCACCAGTAGTGGAAAAGAGTTCCTTTTCCCCCACATCCCCATTAACATTTGTTATTGCTTGATTTTTTGATGGTAGCCATTCTTTCTGGAGATGAAATCTCACCATTGTATTAATGATAAACTCAGTGTTCTCTCAAATGATCAGTGACACTGAACATTTTTTTGTATATTTATTTGCCATTTGTACGACTTCTTCTGAGAAACAACCATTCATTTCAGATGCCCATTTTTTTGGATTAGGTCTTTAGATTTAGGGGATCAGACTCTTTCAATTCTTTATATGTTTGAGATATTAGTCTTTTGAACAACAACTGCATAAGGTTTTTTCTCACTCTGAGTTGTCTCTTTTCTCTGTTGGTGATTTCTTTTGTTGTGCAAAAGCTCTTCTATAAGATGAGATCCCAGATGTTGATTCTTTATAGTACTTCCTGTGACATCAGGGTTTTGCTCATGAAGTCTTTGTCTACACTTGTGTCTTCATACCTTACAGAACTACAGAAAACATTCCTAAAATTCATCTGGAACCAGAAGAGACCTAGAATAGCAAAAACAATTCTGGGCAACAATGGCAAGGCAGGGGACATTACAGTCCCTGACTTGAAATTATATTAGCTACTGTGATTAAAAAGAAGAAGCTCAGTACTGGCCAAAAAGCAGACCTGAAGATCAGTGGAACAGGTTAAAAGATGCAGAATAACTCCAAACACACTCAGTCACCTTGTGTTGGACAAACAAGCCAAACATATTCACTGGAAGAAGGATAGCCTCTTTAATAAATAGTGCTGGGAAAACTGGCTTTCCACATGCTGAAGACTAAAACTAGATCCATGTCTATCACCATGCAGTAAACTAAAATCAAAATGTGCCAAAGATCTAAATATTAAAACAGAAACACTAAATCTACCAGAAGAGAAAATAAGTAGAATCCAGTCTAGTCTTAAGCAGAGTCTCATGTCATAAATGTGTAAGCTAAACAGGGAAGTTACAGTCCATAACTTTTATTATATTCTAGGAGTAAAAAACATGCTCTGTCCACATGAGGAAGCTTTTTTCAAATCAAGAGAAAGTTTTTCAAAACTGAACACCAAGAGAGGGTTCTCTAAAGGTCACAGACGCAGACACCCACGAATAAGAAGTGAGAGAGGAGATAACAGCAGCACAACTTTCAAAGGCAGATGGCACCCAAAACCAGAAACACAAACAAATAGAGCTGGGGGTTTAGCTCAGTGGCACAGTGCCTGCCTGGCAAGCACAACGTCGTGAGTTTGATTCCCGGTACCGGAAAAAAAAAAAAGAAACACAAACAAATAAACAAAAAGCAGGCAGGATGAGAGAAAACTGCCTTAGAACATTAACTATGAAGCCAGAAGCAGGGAAAGCTGAGAAGAACCTGTTTTCGACTGCAGAATCCCCTGGAGACAGGACTTGGCAGAATCTTTAAAAGGTGAGCGATGACCACAAGATGGACAAAGGATTGCACAGACGCTGTGCCTAGGCAGACATAGCAGCAGGGGAAAGCATAAGCTCAACATCTTCAACTGTGAGGGAGGTTCCGGTGTTTGGTGATCAACAGAACTGAGAAAATAAGAAACGTTATAATCACGTTATTTAGAAATACAGATAAAAATTGCAAAAGAACCAGCTAAATCAGTTTGAAAGGATTTGCCTCTGGGAAGGAGAGAATGAAGGAGTTATTTGGCTGAACTTGGAAGCCACGATGCTCTCCGAGCTCAGGCGGCTGCTCCTCTGGTCCTGGAGGTCCTAGGACTGATGTTGAGAGCGCTGCTGGGTCTGCTAACTGACTGCTCAGGGAAGGTGTGGGCTGGAGCCCACTGTAGAGTTATGAGCCCAGTCCTGGCTGGATGGGATGCCTGGTGGGCCCTGGGGACAAGCAAGGAGGCCACTGTGGTGCCCGTCAGCATTACAGAGTCAGGGTTGGGCGGAACCTTTGATTTTGTGAGCACAGTCTGTGGGTGTACGGGCGTGGGGTGGGAGGACGGAAATGCAGAGATGGCAAAGGCAACTGGGGCCCAGGCTTCCCAGGAGTCCAGACCCAGCAAGAAGCCTGTACACCACCTCCCAGAGCCAGGCCAGGAAAGGAACCAGGCACACTGGCCAGAACAAAGCCAGGAGACGTGGACTCAGCAGGAAGGGGCGGGACAATCCAGGAAAGGGAGGAGAAAGAGCTGCCTCTGAGTGGGAGGAGATCTGGGGCTGTCCTGTCCCAGGCGGAGGGGAGCTAGTCCAGGGGAGTCCAAGCGCTTCACGCAGAGACTCAAGGAAGCTACGGTCAGCACTGCGGACCCAGGGCCAGGCTCCATGTAACTGTGGGTCTGCAGCTTGGGGCCTGGCACCCTAATGGGCATCAGAGTAAAAGTCTCGCTGTTGGGAAGCGGCACCCCAAACACATAAGGGGGAAGGAACCGCGTGTGGGTTTGCATGGTCCCCTGTGAGCCCTCCCAGCTGTGTAAGTAGCTATTTTAGGAAGATTCATTTTCTCTGTTTCCTGGCTGCTTTCAGAACAAACAAAAAGACTGAGAAGCGGCCACTCTGTAGCACCCAGAAATGTTCTCAGAACATACAGGTTCTGGGAAAAGCCCCAGTCCACTCCTTCCCTTTAAGGAGTTCTTGCGTGGAAGGTGAGGCAGCGGTGGGGCTGAGCTGCACTTACCCACACCCGGCTATAGGTGGCAGCCTCTAACCAGGAAGCGGATGCTGGATCTCAGACACTCCAGAGTCACTGCAGGTCGGGGGAAAAAGGCATTTGCACCCCAGTACCCTAATTAGGAGCCTTTTGATGGTTGCTGCTGTGCTATAGTAAAAGAGATTAGAGAGCTAAGAACATAATAGCCCAGTTTCCAGGTGCACAGGCCTGTTTCCCCGGTGCTGGTAAACAGTCCACATGGCTTCCAGGCAAAGCAAGAATTAGCCACGGTCAGCAGGGATTTCCACCTGCTGGTAAATGCCTTATGTTTCCAGCTGCTGGTGCCTGTCTTATATTTCAGTGGCATCCATAGCACATGCCTCGGCACCTTGGGAAACACAGGGTTAACTAGAGTAAAACGGGTTCAGGATCTTGTGCTGCCAGGGGTGGTGGCACGCGCCTGTGATCCCAGCACTCGGGAGGATGAGGCAGGATGATCGTTGCGAGTTCGAGACCAGCCTAGGCTACAATGTGAGCTCAAGGCCAGGCTGAACGGCATAGCGAGACCCTGTCTCAAAAAGACAAAAAAAAAGAGAGAGAGAGAGAATATCTTGTGCTTCTTGAATTCATTGGAAAATTTATAACTGTCAGGCTTGTACCACACTTCTGTGGATGAGTGGCCCAATTTTTCTTTCTTTCTTTCTTTCTTTCTTTCTTTCTTTCTTTCTTTCTTTCTTTCTTTCTTTCTTTCTTTCCTTCCTTCCTTCCTTCCTTCCTTCCTTCCTTCCTTCCTTCCTTCCTTCCTTCTTCCTTCTTTCCTCTCTCTCTCCTCCTTTCTATTTTTATTACTTTGTTCATTTTGATGGTACAGGGGCAGCTTTGTGGTCACCTTCTCAGCCTGGCGCTGTGGCCCAGGGCCCCCTGAACAAGCTCCTTTCCGGGTTCCACAGCCCTCCCCATGGCCTCCACTCCTGGGAGCAACAACACACCAGGCTGTTTCAACAGAGATTCTTCTTGGGGGAAAAATGGACTCAGATTATCTTGGAAAGGACACTGTTCTTAATGCAAGGTGACTTTTGCAGTCTGATGCAGATTCTCCTCATAACCCTGGGCCAGGTATGGGAGGGGCTGGAACTAGAGAAAAAAAAAAAAAAAAACCCAGAAGGGAAGGAACTGAGTCCCACGGTCCCTGATTACCATTAATTCCGCCATCGTGCACTGCGTCTCTGTCAGCCTCGCCCTGACCCATGTACCAGCCTCCTTTCCTGCCTGGTTCCCTGAAGGGTTGTGCAGGCTTCTCTCTGGGTCTGGGCGGCCTGAGCCCAACTCTGCGCTGCCGTCTCTGCTTTGCAGTTTCCCATCTGTGCACCCGTAGGCTGTTCATGCGATAAGCTCCCAGCAGGCTGTGTAACTCTGTCTCTCATGGGCAACACCCGGCAGAGGAGAATCCAGTTCATGTGGCTTGGCAAGACCTTATCTCACTGGGTAGGAATTGCAGATAAAGCACCGCCAACAGCCATGCCATGCCATGCCAGCCAAAGGGGAGGGAACACCCTGTGGAGCTCCGACCCTGTGCTCGGAGCCAGAGCAGAGGGGCTCCTGGGTGTGATGTGCTGCCAATGCACACACAGGCGCTGTGGATAAGGCTTCCTGGTCCTTCGATCCCAGCCTCATCCCTCCGCGGGGCATGGGCAAGGCGGCTGCAAATTCCATGACAACACGCAGCGGGCACTGCCAAGGATAACTCCGCAGGGTGAGAGCCTCGCCTGGCGCTGGTGATAACGTGACTTGGTTTCCTGAAGCGGGCTGGGCAGGAGCATCTGCCCCATCTGTAGTCCTTATCACATGATGGTGGGAAATGTACTCCATACCTCCATCCCTACCAACTGATTTGAAACAGAATAAATAAGAAATTACATGAATGGCATCCCTTCCAGAATTTACTTTGGCAATTGCTGATGTATTAAAGTTTGCAACCCACATGAAATGCTCACGACCTGCTTTCTCTCAGGCTGGAGGACAATCCTTGAAGTGTGTTCTTCCATCAGTAACACCCCCTCCCCACATACCTGAGCAGAATCCATTCTCAGACCCCTGGGACTCAGGAGGGGCCCAGGAACCTGGCTTTTCATGAGGTCTCCAGGTACCTCTGACGCATGCTCCAATTTCAGAACCACTGACCCAGAGGATGGAGAGAGGGCACGTTGGAGCCTGAGGGCTGCAGACTGGGGCCCCGAAGCTTTCCTTTTGTAGGAGGCCAGGATTGGAGAGGACTTCATTTTCCACGACCAGCACCTCTCTGAGCCTCCTCTGCAGTCAGGAACGTGTTGGGAATGGGGTGAGGAGAAGCACCTACTGTCAGCTGGCAGAGCTGCGAGGAAAGGGACGGGCTTGAGGCCCGTCCCAGGAGGCAACAGCACTTTTGTGCTCACAAGCCTAATACAAATCTCTGTGTCCCGGTGACAGTCTCAATGATGGGTTCTCCGCACAGTGGACCTACTTGATTCTTCCAACCCCCTCTTGGTCCTACAGATGAGTCTGTAGAGAACAATGTCACTAGGTAGTGACAAAGATGAGACTCAAATCCAAGACCCATGGCCTGAGGTCCATGTTCTTTGTACCTCAAAACCAAGAAGCGCTGATAGCTGGCGAGGGAAGGAAGGACTTCCAGGATCCACTGCCTTCTACCTGGGTGAGTAGAGTTCTGTCAGCCTGTTTGTGAGCTCGTCCAAGAGGGCCCTTGCTTGGCCACAAGAATTCTGGCTGGTTCCACCTGAAGATTCCCCACTGGGCCCATCTGCATTTTGTGCAGCCCCTCATCACCAAGTCTCCAATCTCTGCTCATCTCGCCCAGGGGCAAGAATATCAAGAAGAACAATAATCTCCCCAGAGAACGCACACATACCCCTTGGGAAAGCAGTACTGCTGAGAAAAAGATGATAGGAATGAGGAAAGAAGGAAGGGAGGGAGAGAGGAAGGAAGGGAAAAAGGAAGGAAGGAGAAAGAAAGGAAGAAAGAAAAAGGGGTAGAGAAAGGAAGAAAGACAAAGAAAGAAAGAAAAAGAAACAAAGAAAGAAGAAAGGTCTAAATTTCTATCTCTCTGTGTCTCTCTTGTCTCTGTCTGTCTCTGTGTGTCTGTCTGTCTGTCTCTTTCTTTCTCTCTCTAGGACAGGGTCTCACTTGGACTGAAGATGATCCTCCTGTCTCAGCCTCCAAGTACAGATTATAGGCATATGCCACCATGCCCAACTCCACCTGGACTTCTCAATGAGAAGGAAGCAGTTGTCCTTTGTGTGCCAGGGAACAGGTGGGCTATGAAGTCCCCTAGGAAATCCTCTACTTTCATTCTCAGCTCGCCTCCCTGGGGAGATGGGAGCAGGGGAGGCCCGTCCAACAGACAAGCACGTTCAAACAAGAAAAAGCGCATGCGCACACACACACTTTTTCATATACTGGACAGCATGTGGGTGTGAGGAAAAAGAAATCACTGATACTCCTGAGGACACCATGAGTGTGCAGTGAGAAATTCCAATGGGCTTTCTGTTCCTAGAAGGAAAACAAAGCACAGTCACGGGGACTGCAGCCTGGAAGACACCGTGGCCCTTGCTTCCCAAAGGGCTGCGGACATCCCGCAAGGAAAAGGAGGTGTGTGCTGGGGAGAAGCTCTTTATGTTATTCCGTTTGTCAGAAGCAAAAGGTCAATGTGGAAACAGGGAGCACGAGAGGAAAGCAGTCTTTTCAGAAAGCCCTGAAATGTCACAGTCATGGTTGTGCTTGCCGGGACCTGTGTGGATAAGACTCAGGCCATGGGGATGGTGCTAGAAACCGCGAGGTGGTGCCTCTTAGTAGAACGAGACACATGGCGCCCTGTGTATCTCCATCTCATGAAGTGACGGCTCAACTCACTTGGTGGCTGTAGCACTCCCTTCCCTTAAATGGGTCCTACTAACTTTGGTAGAGATTTCTCTCCTGCCTTTAGTCCAGGCTGAATAAGGGATTTGAGCCCGTTATGTATGGTAACCTCCACCGCATGTACCCGATTCTCAGGCCGCATAGATGAGGCAGCAAAGTGACCAGCTCTTTGGGAAAGGGTCTCCGCGACCTTCACTGAAGTTAGACATCGCATGAGCTTTGGGATGAGCCCTCAGATTCCATATTGTGGACCTGGGCAGTTGCAGATCTGGTCAGAAAGGACATTTGCATTCATTGCTTCTGGGGGAAAGAGGACAATTCCTTGAGTTCATTCCACTTTCCTGTAATGACGAAATGGCAAACACCACCCGAGTCCCATTCATGCAGTAAAATAAACAGCAGTAACTAACTGCGCTATTAAGAAATGGTTCTGCTTGGGTATGTGCGGAATGGTTTTCACACTGAGCCTTACAAACATAATTCCAAGATTCACTGATTTGTCAAAAAATGGTTGGGCATTTATTCTGAGCCAGGTCCTCTTTTAGGCACTAGGGGTCCGGTAGTGACCAAGATGAAGGGGGAGATGGAGCCCATCTTCACGGGACCAGGTATTGGTCACCCACCACGTACCCACATGGTTACAAACCCACCACATGCTACATCTTTTATGTTTGTCTGCTCAGCATCTGTTTGCTTTCTTTTAAACTTCTGCTGTCTTGCAAGGTGCTCATTTCTATTGATTTGGAATCCATGGGCCTTGCCATTCAACAGTTCAGAACTCATCTGTCACGCTCCAGTCCAGCAGGAGAGCTTAGTGCCTGCCCTGCTGTTCCCCTCACCTCTTCCACGTTCACAACTCTCGCTGCCCCTTAAGGGGCAGATGACACCATGTGTCCTGCAGGAAGCCTTTCCTGTCCACTCTTGCCCATTAGGTCCTCTGTTCTGAGCTGTGGAGCTTTTGGTTAGCTGCCAAGATGCAGCAGGAATGTTGGTATCACTTGCTTGCTGCTTCCTGCTTCCCCTGGTCTCATTTTAACAAAGGGGTTGGTTACTCCTTGCCAATTCATTGGCACAAGATTCCAGCACAAATATGTCTGAAGTGGGTCTGTTCACTTGCTAATTAGTAAATTTTATTTTATTTAATTTATTTTTTTATTTTTTATTTTTTTTTGGTTTTTCTCCGGTACCAGGAGCTGAACTCATGACCTTGAGCTTGCCAGGCAGGCGCTTTTGCCGCTGAGCTAAATCCCCAGCCCAGTAAATTTCAATAAATGAGATATGAACAGATTCCCCCATATATATAGTCACTTAACATATT